GGGGGGGGTGAAGAGCAGAGAAACAAGTGTTACCTTGATGCGCTTGGCCACCTCGAGCGTCTCGGCGGGGGGGATCTTCTCGTTACGCTCACGGAGGAGCTGCAGCACGAAGTTGGTGATGTCGCGACCGGCCAACGGGATGTGCTTGATGCTGCTGCCAATGACGTAGCCCTCAGCCTTTGGGGAGGAACGTAATCAGGTATTTCTGGTTGTTGCGCTGCACAGAGAGATACACACACTGCCGAATGGTGATTTGGGGGAGGGGTGCGTACGACGGGGATGACGTGGGTGACACCGTCACCAGAATCGATGACAGTACCGGTGAGGGTCTTCTCGGTGACCTGCTTGGAGGTCCACGAGGCGGCGAGGGCGAGCACGGCCTGCACGGCGATGTAGAGGCCGGGCACGTTGAAGGTCTCGAACATAATCTCGGCCGTGTACTCGCGGTTCTCGGGGGCATTGAGCGGAGGCTCAGTCTGTGTGTGACATGTAAAGCGCCCGAAGTGAGCGGCCGCGTTGGTTAGCCGATGTTTTTGTGGGGGGGGGCGCTGAGCAAAAAATGGGAGGAGTAGGTGTCTTGATTAATTGGCGGCTTGTTGTGTACCAGGAGGAAGTGGTGGTCCTCGGGCTCGCAGCGAAGGTACTTGAAGATGCAGTGCTCCCAGAACTGCTCCATGTGGGTCCAGTTCTCGACCTGGCCGTGGCGCACGGGCATGGTGATCTGGTAGACCTTGGAGTTCTCGTAGGCCTCGTCACCGATGAAGAAGTCCAGATCGGCGATGTTCTTGCCAGCAGCGCCAGGGGCACCACCAGCGGCGGGCGCGGCAGCGGGGGTCTTCTGGGCGATGCCCTTGGTGGCGATGGCCGTGGGGATGATGTACTGCGGCTCAGTGTTGCCGGCATAGCCCATCTTGGTGTAGCCGGTACCATTGTCGATCACGACGGCGGGAAGTCCAGATCTGCTCATTTTTTCTTCAACCTTCTACGACTTCTTTCGAGTGTTGGGGATTGAGGATTTGATGAAACAAGGCCAATGGATTTGGCTGCGGTCCTGGTGGCGGCACCAGAACAACGGCCCCGCCCAATGGCCGCCACGCTCACGCGTGTACCCAATCCCGACCCGAATTGAATACCGCCGACATCATGCCTGGCATTGCTCTCATACCCCACATTCTGAAGTTTGGCGCCAACGTAAAGAAAAGAAGCAAGGATCACACAATTTGATCTAGAACGTAGAGGAGATGTCCACCTTCGATTTTTCCGCGGGTGGCGGGCTGGGCACTGTTACCACCTCTAGGTACGCGACGAAGACGTGTCCCTTGGAAGTTTTGAATGTGCTGCTGATTTCGTTCGAACTGCTGGGGGGATTAGCGGTCTGGGCAGCTTCTCGTTTGGATCGTCCTTCGGGACTTCCTCCACTGCCACGCCCTCTGCTGGTGGTGGTTTGTTCGGAACGACGAGCACTCCTGCAAGCGGCTCCACATCGCTTTTCGGAGCGCCTGCAAGCACCGGGGCGGGAGCAACTGGCGGGGGCTTCTCCCTCTTTGGCGCCACCACTCCCTCCACGGGCACTTCCCTATTCGGGGCCACTGCCAGCACACCCTCCTCCGGGTCGAGTGGTGGTTCGCTCTTTGGCACATCCACAGGGTTCGACGCTGGCGGTGGCTCTTCCACCCTCTGGTCGACAGGTGCTGCACATGGTATTTGCCCTCCACTCCTCTCTTACCGTTTGTTCCTGTTCTCTGGCCTTACCCCGGGCCGGGCGTGATGCCATCTTTTTCCCGTGCGCTAGCGTCCGCACCCGCTGCACCGGGCGGAGATGGATTGCGCGGCCAGCCCCAAGAGGCCATCCGGGCCTATGGCATGTGTTGGTCCAAGGAAACCGCTGCCTGCAGGTTCAATGTACGCTGCCATCCCCTTCTGCACGTGCGGCCTCTCCAACCAACGGCTAGCTAATGGCCATGTTCTATCGACCCCGTTTACGTTGATGGCTGGAACAGCACGCGTTCTACTACGTGGTGCCTCCCGGTGACGTGCCCAAGTACACGCGCCCTCCGAACGTCGATGAGAGATCGTGGGCGTTGGCGGTCCAGCAGAATCCCGACCCGCAAAGGTATCCCGCATCGCGCGGACAGGTCGCTGGCGAATGTCGGTCACCACGTGCCTGACACCGGTTCCTTGATGCACGCAGGATGGTGCCCGTGTTCGCAAAGGGGTTCGAAGACCTCAAGAAGCGCGTGGACGAACAGGATGCGGCAATCAAAGGCACGCGACCTATCTTCACCCCTGTACGCCCCTTTGGCTTGGCTGGCTAACCTTCGCACGCCCCCTCCCCTTGTCACTCCCAATGGAACGGCGCAGAACACGAAGCAACTCTCCAAAACGCCAACAAGCTCACCAACGCCATCTACCACAAGCACCAGGTGGGCACCATCGTCAAAATGGAGGCCTACAAGCGTCGGAACATGGAACTGGCTAGCCGGGTATTGCGGGTCCGTGTCCCCAGCCACTCAACGGCACAGTCACCCGGTGCCTTATTTTTTTTTTTTCTTTTGCAGGTGATGAAAAAGGTGGAGACGCTGCGCGCGCTGGGGATTCCGAGTGTGCCCGAAGAGGAGGTGCGCTCTCTACGCCAATGGCATGGCCTCCTTGCATCCTTGCATCTTGCCGTGACACTCTCCCGCCATCGCCACCTCCAGGTGTTCAGGGACAGGTTGCAAACCCTGCGAAGAGAGCTCAACCAACCCGACTCGTCCAAGTCCAGGCTCAACGAAATCACCTCCCTCGTGCGCATGCAAGACGAAATGCAAGATCTCAACTACGACACCATCGACGAAGAGAACATGGACAAGATCTTCCAGGTTCGTTTGGATCACAACCCCAGCTCAGCCAACCTCAGTCTCAGTGTCGCTGATCGGCGCCACAATTGGCGGCACGTGCTTCACGCAGGTCCTGCAGCAGCAGCAGGAGGGACTGGTCCGGCTGACCGAGATCGTGATGAGAGACTTGCAGGACACGAACCTCATGCTGAACAGCGCCATGGGCCTGTGAGGAGAGGGGGGCCGTGCGAGTGCGCGCGCGCGGAGAGAAAGCGACGACCCTGTTTGGTGCCAACCAATGGCGGAGCGTGGGGGAAAAATCAATTTCGTTATTTTCTCGAGTTTGCCTCCGTCTCCGGCCAACTGTCTCCTACCTTTCCACCACCGCCGCCAAGGTATGCGGGACCTGCCCCCCCACAACATTTATTTGTGGCTTACATAATAATAATTATAATACTACCCACAGGGCAGTACTAATTGTCCTCCCCCCCCCAGTACGACCACCATGGACGCGTATGACTGTATCGTCGTGGGCGCCGGCCTCGCCGGTTTGCAAGCCGCCACCAAGCTGGCCGAGCGAGGCCACACCGTGCTGGTCCTCGAAGCTCGCGACGTACGCTCCCCCCCCCCGATCGTTGAAGATCAATCTCGGGCCGCCCTTTTTCTTTCCTATTTATTAGCAAAATTCGACAAATAAGAAATAAATAAATATTAAAACAACAAGAGCAAGCATTTTGGCCAGCCCGGCCAGCAGCACGGGGCGTGGCGTCTCACAGTGTGACGTGCTTGGCTGGCGGTGGTGCCGGTGGGTAGCGGGTGGGAGGGCGCACGCTCAACATCCAGGTGGGCCAGGACGCGTGGGACGGCGGGGCCGGGTGGATCGGGGCGCAGCAGCCGCTGGTGAAGGGTCTGTGCGAGCAGCTGGGCATCGCCACCTACCCGCAGTACGACGAGGGGAAGCACATCCTCATGATCAACGGCAAGGTGAGCACCTACACGGGCAACATCTCCTCCCTCAACCGATCCGACCTGGGCGAGCTCGAGCAGGTCGTGCAGCAGTGGGACGAACTCATGCTCAAGGCACTCCGACACTTCTCGCGCGCTCGCCGCATACAACGTGACCGCCCGCACTAACGCTGGTCGTGTCGCTGTCGTGTGTCGTGTCGTGTGTTGTGTGTCGTTCACTGGCGTGGTGGCTGGTGGCTGGTGGCTGGTGGCTGGTGGCTGGTGGCTGGTGGCTGGTGGCTGGTGGCTGGTGGCTGGTGGCTGGTGGCTGGTGGCTGGTGGCTGGTGGTGACTGGTGGTGATGCAGGTGCCTCTGGACAAGCCGTACGCGTGCGCCAACGCCCTCGAATGGGACAGCATGAACCTCGAGGTACGTACCACCCTGCCCTCCCCCACTACCAGCCATCTATGCATCCGCCTAGCCCCTCCTCTCGCCAATGTAGTGTAGCGCTGCTGGTTGTGCCCCTCCTCCCCCCGCCGCATGCTGATGCGCGTGCGTGGGCCGCCCGGTGCACCAGGTGTGGGAGCGGCAGAACATGAAGAGCGAGGTGGCCATCAACCTGCTCAACTTCATCATCCGTACCGTCTTTGCCGTCGAGCCGTCCCAGGTCAGCTTCCTCTTCTTCCTCTTCTTCCTGCGCTCGGGTACTACTCCCCTCCTCCTCCTCCTCCTCCTCGTATGCGGTCGTGCGCGAGTGTGTGCTGACCTCACCACACACCATCGCACTGATCGCGGATATGCGGACATGCGGACATGTGCGGCGGCGGCGGCGGCGGCGGTGGCAGGATTCGGCTACAACTGCCTGTCGGACATCCGCGGCGGAGCCCAACAGGAGAGGGTAAACGTCCCCCCCCCTTCCCACTCTCCCGCGACGCTACGGCCACGGCCACGGCCACAGCCACGGCTACGCAAGAGTAGTCGTAGTTGGACCACGACACAGCTGTGCCGATGGCTGGCTGGCTGGGGGGGCAGGCATTTGTAACAGACGGACAGGCTCGCCTGACCAAGGACATTGTGTGTGGCGTGTGGCGTGTGGCGTGTGGCGTGTGGCGTGTGGCGTGTGGCGTGTGGCGTGTGGCGTGTGGCGTGTGGCGTGTGGCGTGTGGCGTGTGGCGTGTGGCGTGTGGCGTGGTGGGGGGAGTGCAGGTGGTGGGCGGCACGCAGAGCATTTCGCTGGCGCTGGCCCAGGTGCTGGGCTCCAAGATCCTCCTCAACGCCCCCGTCCGCAAGATCGAGCAGGTGTGCCCCCCCCCTCCCTCCTCCTCCATCCCCGTAACCCGTGCGCCTGGTGGGCCTTCACCTCCGCCGACGCCTGACCGTGTGGTGGAGGTTGGGCGTACGGGGCTTAACCTATTCCTAACAACAGCAGCAGCAGCAGCACTAATAGTATGCGCATGCAATGCGTGGGGGTGGGTGTGTAGTGGGCGGGAGGCGTCGTGGTGCACTCGGACTTGGGCGTGCACCGCAGCAAATACGTGGTCGTGGCCGTGCCGGTACCGCCGCCCGCCTCTTCTCTGTCATTGTCGTCGCCCTTCTTGCCGCCTCCTTACCGATGCCGATGGTGATGGCGTGATGGTGGTGGTGGTGGTGGCTGCAGCCGGTCGTCGCGGGCAGCATCCAGCATAGCCCTCCGCTGCCGGCGATGCGGGACCAGCTCACCCAGCGCATGCCCATGGGCTGCGTCATCAAGGTAGTAGTGCTCGCCTGCCCTCCATTTCGAAGGCGAAGGGAGCTAACCGTCGTTTTGGTCGTTTTGGTCGTTTTGGTCGTGCGTCGTCGTCCCGG